GGAGAGTCAACTCCCAAACCCCCAAAACTCCCCAAAAATTCACCTGTATTACCCCAGTATTGGGAGTTGATCCCCCAAACCCATCAGCAGGTTAGGAGTTGGATCCCCAAAAGTTTTAAATAGAAAAAACAAAACCCCCGGAGGGAGACAGAGTCAATGCCCCAAAACCCACTGGGTTTTGGGGGGTCGGAAAGCCAAAAAGAGCCCTTGACAGCCGGGAGGATTCCTCCCAGTGGCTGATGGCACACCCTCAACCGAGCTTAACAAGGCCTCTCGAGAGCCCCCCTACGGGCCCCGCGGAGTGGGGGAGCCCCGCAGGGTCTCTGTCTCACAGAGAGGCCTACGGGGAAGACAGGAATGGAGGCCTGAGGGCCCCATCTTCCAAGGCCTGTATTGCCTATTTTTTTAGTTTTTTTTTTTCTTTTAAAGATTGGCCTCTTTCCCTAATGGTCCGCCCTTGCGCCCATGAGATCGCCTGGCCAGTGCGCATCTCCTCATCCAATTTTGGAGCCATACATTTGGATATGAGCCCCAACCTCTAGGTTAGATTTTTTTGAAAAAATCTTCGATAAGTGCATGATTTGTTTGTACAGACTTTACAGATGCTGTACAAATCTGTACGAGTTATCTGTTGAAGCGCAATGATAATGTCTCACTGAGAATCTCATTTCAATCAAAAACACATAATATAATTGTGTACATTGATACAGCGAAGAGTGCTGAAAACCAGAGAAGGATACAGTCGAGTGTGTACATGATCAAGCACAGGCAACAAAAAACCGCTGTTTTCAAACTGCCCTCAACATCCTGCAGCACATGGGATGGAGACATGCAGTCGGAAGGGTTGGAGTGGAGACCGATGGTTTCATTTTGGTCCCATGGGCAGGCCTGGGGACCAATGGGAAGGTGGGTTTTTTGGGGGTGCAGTTGTTTCACCTGCCAAATGACCCTCAAGCCACTCAGGCTCTCATGCCAAAATGGACTGCTTCCCGGCAAGTCCCTCCCTTCGGTCGGCGTAGGCAACTCCGAGGCCATATCAGGCCAGGAGAGAAGGGAAAAGGGGCTTGTTGTTAAGTTCGACCCTCCACAGCCGAGAGAAATCAGCTGATCACTTCTTCATCGACCAACTTGCCGTTGTCATCCAGGCTGCCTGCAATCTAGGCACACAAGTCTTGATTGTTGACTTGATCCCCTTCCTTTGTGATCTTGCCAAGGCTGTCATGGTCCTCCTCAGAATCCCATTCTGTCCCATTCCAAATCAGAAGGATTCCCCCAATGATTTTTCTTGCCCGTCGAGATCAGTGAACATCCTTGACGGCAAAGGTTTCTCTTGGTTGTTGAGGGTGTACACTCTCAATGGCCAAGAGTGTTTCTCTCCGTCGTTGAGGGTGTACACTCTCAAAGGCTGAGAGTGTTTCTCTCGGTTGTTGAGGGTGTACACTCTCAACAGCCAAGAGGTTTTCTCTCAGCCGTTGAGAGTGTACATCCTCAATGGCCAAGAGGTTTTCTGTTGACCGTTGAGGGTGTACACTCTCAACAGCCAAGAGTGTTTCTCTTGGCCGTTGAGGGTGTGCCATCAGAAACCGGGAGGAATCCTCACAGCTGTCAAGGGCTCTTTTTGGCTTGCCAACCCCCAAAACCCACTGGGTTTTGGGGCATTGACTCCGTCCCCCTCTGGGGGTTTAATTTTTTATTTAAAACTAGTATATGCCCCCAAATTTGGGGAGGCTGCTTGTTTTTTCCCCAGATGTTGGGGGTTTTACTTGTTTGAGGGTCCTATGGTGTAATAGCCTTCACTTTTGAAGGTAATTGTAATAGCCTTCGCTTTTGAAGGTTGCTATGATTGTAAAGTCCTAGCAAACGTCAGAAATGACATTGATGTGAATGATCAAACTAAAGTTTTATTTCTGATAAGTGACATGTATGTGACTGAAGAAATAAAACAGAAACAAAGAGAAAGAAATCAAAAATACCTAAAGGCAGAGACAACACAAGTGAGAGGACAGCGACACGAGAGAAGACAATAGGCAGAAGAAACAAGGAAGAAGAAGAACTAATATATCGAATATCAGTTAGTGCCTTTTGAGGAGAGAGCTGTCGAATCAGATCACACAAGAGAATAGTGTCTTACAAACACGAGACAAGGATGATCGAGTGATTTGGCGAATTTGATGATGATCGAAGAGCGATGCGATTGGGAGTGATAGACGAACAGAGTCGTCGATAGAAGATAGATGTCAAGGAGTTTTGACGAGTTTGCGGAGGAATCGATTCAGTGGTGAGAAGAAATAAGAGCGACTGAAGATTGAAGATTACCGATGAGTAAAAAGATAGGTTGATACAATTCCACAAGGGAAGAGAGGAAAGAGAAGTCCGAGAGAGCAGCTTCCTTATACCCGAGAGAGTCGTGATAGAGGGAGGATCGAGCGGAGTTGAGTCGAAGGTTTTTGCTGGAGGAAAAGAAAGGGTCTGATCGTATTATCTGAGAGCCGAAATGTTCTTGAGATGATGTCATAGCCAGATGAGCCGCTAGAGTCTGAGAGGGATGTCACTCAGATGTCAACAATTCAACATCAACACCGACGTTAGAAGCCGCATGAGAAACAATAGAAATACTGATTGAAGCCTGACGGTTTGTTTGGTCCTCTGAGGCTATTTCTTTAGTTATATGTAGATTTTTTGGGATCCCACTCCCAAACCTGCTGACGGGTTTGGGTGATCAACTCCCAACACTCAGGGAATACAGGGAAATTTTGGGGGTTTGGGGGGTTTGGGAGTTGATTAGCCAAGCCCCTTTGATTTTGATTAACTATCATCAGCTTTTTCTTTTTGAGATATTTGATTCTTAGGAATTCTTTTTGCCAAAAACTGACAGGGGGGTTAAAAAAATCTGTTGGGGGTGTTAAAAAAATCTTGACGGGGGGGGGGGCAGGGGGTGACATGATGGGGACAAGGGGGGCTGCAAAAAAGAAAACAATAATAAGAAGAAGAAGAAATCATACATCTTTGGTTACTAACCTTTGTTGTTCCCCAAAAATTCCATACATTTCAGGTGAGTAACATTTTGCTCAAAAATGCCCATTCATACATTTTTGGTGTATCATTTTGGGTT